TACACCTTTTGTTATATGTTGACAAATGTAATGGCTGTAAATGTAAAAAATAGCTTATTTAGACAAGTGGGCTAATTATTGTGGTTCAGACGTGAATCATTTAATTATTAACGCATTATAATGCAATTTTAATATCACCCTTTTTGAATAGATCATTAAAAGTACACTCAAATGCCATGGTGTGGTAGGATTCATATTTAGTTTTAAACTCTTTTTGGGTCTATAAGCTCCATTATGTAGGGTATACTGAAATTTGTGGAGGTCGAAAAAGAATAACGTATATTGGCCAGACAGGGCACAGAGCTCTGTTCACCAATCGCCCGTATCTAAATAAAATTTATCTGTGTCCCTTGTATGTGCGTACATGTGCCCCATGCCCCAGAGAGGGAACGGAATGTCAGTTCTCGCGAAGTTAGTTAGCAAGACAACGGATACTTAAAGAGTTGCCTATAAATGGACCCACGAGCATGTGACTTACTTGGATTAGATTAGATAGATAAAATACCCAAGCCGTATGTATGACCCGAGTCTACTAATGTGGTCGACAGTGCAGATGCACTGATACAAGCTAGATAGCTTAGCTACTTACTTAGCTTTTAGCTTTTGGATATTTGGAATCCAACGATAGACGGATATCGAACTCGCGATCCGTCAATAGCCATTCCTCGCTACCATTAGACCAAGGAGCCCGTCACAATATTCTTTATCTTAAGAGATTCCATAAAGAATAGATTTATAATTTTGTGTTGACGATTTTTTATCTCACTGGGTGAAGGCCTAAATGCGCTAGGCTTTGAACATGTTGCTTTCTGTTTGATGTACGTATATTTTGTTTGTCAATATTTATAGAGCTGAAAGGATTTGTGTAAAAATGGGTTTTGTTTGTGGAGTCAACAAGTATTATAGTGACATTTCTTTATTGTTAATGTTTTAATTATGACCCGGCTGAGCCTATTGTGGAAAGTGAATAAAATTAAAATTTGTCATATTTATAATTTAAGAAAATTATTTTTTACATATATCACTCATATTTTTATATAATACTAGCTGTATTAGCGACTACGTCCGCGAGAATCGTTATTTTGGGCATCCAAATTCGTTTTAAAGGATAGACATATAGCGTCGCGGACATTTTTTTATCGTTTAAAGAGGAATCATTTTTCATACATTTTTTTGAGTATCTTGAACCATTTTCGGAGCATACGCCTCGGAAACCCATAATGTTGAATAATTTTTCCTTTTTTTTACATTTCTCACTATATCTTTGCTTGTATTAGTCACAGGGCAATATTTATAGCCTACAGCCTTCCTCGATAAATGCTCTAACTAACACAAACATAATTTTGCAATTCGGACCTGTATTTCCTAAGATTAGCGCGTTCAAACAAACTCTTCAGCTTTATATATTAATATAGATACAAATCGATAGTGAATTATTTTATTGTTATAGTCTTTTCTTCTAAGTTCGAAGTTTATCTACCAGCATACGTATGGTTATATTTTCCTTACTTATAAAGTTAAATTATGCTCTTCTCAGGACAGTACTTTTTAATCAGTGCAAAATAAAAGTAGTAAAAAACGACACAGTCTAGAGTATTTAGAGACATATTCATCGCTTTTTATGTTTTCTAAGAAAAACAAGTTTTTAGATTTAGATGCCGGTTCAAGTCCTGCCCGAGTAGAAATTTTTTTCGATTTTTAAATTATAGTAAGATAATTTTAGCTCTTTCAATTGTAGGAAATATTAAAATAATAGCTAAGTATCTACTTACCACTGTGCTGAGTAAAAAATATACTCCCACAAAAACACAATGAAACTTAAATCACTATTAGAATAATTAAATTTATGGTCTGTGACAATTATTTTCAGCGCGCCAAATTTTCGCTCCATGGGTTTAGCCAGACTGCAGAATGATGATGACAATTTGTTCATCCGTCACAAAGTAATTTAGCCAACTAACTAAGCAATTCGAGTAAGTATCGAATTTCAATATTAAGTAGATAACAATTGTAATTTCTTGATTATTACGCATAAAAATACAAGTAGATATGTGATAATAATTTTATAACGCGTTACAAAACTTACGTACCTACGTACCTATAACAATATGCAGTTTTTGTATCAACTTAGTTTTGTCTTTATCGCAGGTCTTTGGTAGGTTTCGAATTTTATAATACATTATTTCACCTACATTTAAATACTGTCAACCCCGTGACCACGGCTGCTGCAAAGAATCGGAAAAATCAATTTAAAAAAATTTTCCAATAAGCTTACTTAATATATTTCGCGTTTTAAACCGTTAAAGTTCATTCACCTATACTTATTAGAGTTTATTTATTTTATTTTACAAACACAATTATTTCAGCTGATTTTCAACTTATAATCATAAATGTTATTTCAATTGTCAATCTTTTAATGTTACACGGGATATAGCAGTCTCAATACAAATTGTAATTCTATTATTAAGAGAGAGACTATATAAAAATAACGACACGGGCATGACTTGAACCGGCATAAACAGTGTTCATATGCTCTAACCAATTTTTAATCGATTATTAATTAATATTGTGCCATCATGTGCAACATGTAGACAACGTTTTCAAAAGTTTGTATAACATACTAAAGGAGAAAATCACTTACCCACACCTATGTGTATCTAAAGTTGCCACAGCAATGAACGTAAACTGTAAAATCGACATCGTTGAAGGAACTAAATCCGGATTCTGTTAATTTACGGGCCGCGAGAAGCATACGACAAGACACCAACAGTCTATTGCAATAAAACTTTGATCTAGAAGTCGATCGACTTAAAGACAGCCAGTATTACGATTTTAGTAGTAGGCAATGGATCGAGAAACAAGTGAAAATAGCAGAATCAAATGAGCACGTATGACCCCTTTTAAATTGCTGTTTCAGACTATTGTCTGTTGTCTGTTGAGCAGCAAAGTAAAAAAAAACTAGGCTCGATACAGTCTGTAGTTTAAGCGAGTAGTACACATTTAAATAAAACAGTTTAACGGTTTAAAACGCGTTATATGTTAGATAAACTTATTTGGAAATTGTTCTAATGACGGCCCGACGTATTCGGATGCTTTGTAGCAGCTGTAGTCACGGCGTCAAGTTTAACTAATCGTGTTTTAAACCGTTAAAGTTTTTAATTTAAACTATGTTCGACTTCAAATCAAACCAGTCAAAATATCAACTGTTATATTAACTAACAGCTGTTTCAGTAAGTGTAAATTATTTTGTATAAGATAAAATGTATAAGACGCCCTTTTCCACAGCGCGAGTTATTCAATAAATAAAATAAACAAATCCATAATAATATTTATTACAAAACATGTAACACTTATACAATATCTATGCACAAATTTAAATTATTACAAGAGTATATTTAAAAACTGTTCACTTATATGCTAAGAATATGTCATTTATTCTGAATTATAACTCAACGGAGTCACAGTATGTTTTATTGATGATTACATAACAGAGACCTATTACAAATTATTAACTCATAACTGACTACTGATTTATCTTTTACAATTGTAATTGTCATAGTCCATTGTCTTTCGGACTGTTTCGAGATGGGGAAACGTCGAGAACCTCTTCTCGCTCACGTCGGTCGAACAGCCCGAAAGAAAATATGCTCGACGATGGCCGCGAAAGCCTTACACAATTTATTTGTCATAGAGTATGTTTCGGTATGAAAATAATATGGGCCTTTAAAAAGTATTGTTTGAAAAATATTGACAAAAATGTATTTGGGAAGAATTCTACTAACAAGTGGATATATATGGCGGATTACATATTTGTGTACCCCACCAATATGTCGTAATGTAAATCTTTATTAAGTGTAAGAAGGAGATAGTAGTAGAAATCGATATATCCTTTTTTTTTATTTCCCTCCCACCATATCTTCATGTAGTAATTTGTTATTACTGAACATGAATTACGTATTTATAACTATCTGTATAAAATGTGAAATGAATGTTAGTGCAAGGTCACCAAACATTACAAACAAAAGTACCTCTAATATTAAATCTTTAAAATAAACATAGTATCTTTGTTCACTTAGAAACAAAACTTTGTACCCATTTTGTGTCTTATTTAATCTACTGTGATTTATTATAATAAATATAACCTTGTACACTAATAAGTAGAAAATATGTCCCTTTCCTAGGAAAGAAACAAATGTGTTTAAAATTTTGGAATCATTCAGTTTTTGTTTAAAAACTGCACTTTTTTCAATTTAAAGTAAAAATATTTTAAATAACCCCTATGTTTTATTCAAAAGTATGAGGGTAGTTTCCTAAACTCTCTCATTAAATCAGCTCTGCTTTGAAGCTTTAATTATACTTCTTTAACATTTAAATTATCGTAAAATAATTTCTACATTTTGTGAAAATAATCTACAATATGACACGTGGTAAGTTATTGCTTTGGGATCATGGCTTGCTTTCTACAATATCACAAAGCGGCGAGCGTTACCCTACAAATTTTATAAGGAAATTCCGCCATTTTTACTTCACCGCCGTTCATCTTTTGTAATATAAAATAATTCTAAAATACCTCAACAATCACGAAAATTCGGCGTTAATTATTTTGTGAGCATTAATAAAAACACTATAGTTGATAAGAATATAATCATTTTAAAGATTTAAGTCTTATATAAAATATCAATTGAACTTCAGAACAACTATATAAAATACTTCTTTATTTATATGGAAGACGGCTTTAAAGTTCTCATATAAAGCTCTAAGATTTAAGTGAATCAAGTATGTGCTATTTAAAAAGTAATTTCTAAAATGAAACGTCAAAAATGACTCCTTCCACGTTTTCATTCCTTTTCTTAAGCACAACAATATCGGAATATTGTGGACACATATATTTCCATATTTTGACGAACTATATGCCATTATGTTGTATGATAAGAACCTTATACCTCATTTCTTACCTGCACAGATATACGTAGCTACTATTAGATACTTTTTTATATACGTCAGGCGTTAGACTGATTTCTCTTCTTAGGCGGTGGCGTGGGCGCTTTTTCATTAGCAGGTGGTAACTCACAAGTGTTCCGCCTTTTCGACTGGTACAAATACGAGTGGCGAGGTGAAAGAACCAGATCGTAATTGTACCTGGTGGGTAGTGGGTTTACGTCCATGTTGTTATTCTCCGTGTCTAGATCTAGGCTTCGGTGGGATTGTTTGACGGGCAGCGGCGGCGGTTCTTCTTCGTCTTGGTTGGAATCGGTTGTACCTAGAATATTTAATGTGTTCAAAAGGGTAATTTTGTTTGACCGATGCGCTGTCGCCTTTTTTGTTTAGAAATTAAGACAGACTCAGGTTCTTATTTACAGACTGCAACTGAAACTCAAATTTACCATTCAGGACTCTTTTATCAAGATTGTGGATATCACATAGTTTCCATTTCTGCTACTCATTCAATGTTACTTATTTAATGTTTTTAATGGAAGTAAGTTATTAATTTATTAACCAATTCAGTCCAAAACAAGTAAGTTAAAAGCGAACATGAAATAGTTAAATTTTGTGATTATGTAACTGTTTCTTTGAATAAATTAGTTAAGACCAAAGCATTAGTAAGAAGATATTGCTATATATCACAGATAACCGCATAAAAAGCGAACATGCGTGACACGTTTTACACAAAAAATAAAAACAAATTACAATAGATGTAAACGTTCAAATATACAATGTATTTTCAAAAACCCATATATAAATAAATAAAGATTAAATATTATTAATAAAAAGGAATGGCTGTGAAGAAAACATTTTGATTAACAATACACCAAAATTGCATTATCACCAACAGTCTGAGAAACCAGTTAAAACGAATGATAGACAATCGTCAAAAAATGGCGTCGATCTCAGAGACGGTTACCCTGTAAACTCTACACACAAACACAAGAACACACAAATATATACCTTTAGGATCGTAGCACTTATAAGAGACGCGATTTTGCAGCCTACAAGATAAATTAATTACTAGAAGATAGAAGACAAGAAGCAGACGTGCACGATTCTACAAATACTATATGGAGATGTTCTCGGCAGACAATTACAATAGACAACACATAATTGTTGTAATCTAAAGAATTAAAATATATATATATATAACAAAATGTTGATGTAGATAAGAATAATATGTATATATAAACTATCTGTAGTTTACACGAGTAGAACACACCTAAATAGAGCACTTTAACGGATTAAAACTCGAAATATATATTAGCTAAGATTGTTTACAAATTATCCTAAGTCTTGGTGGTGAATCTCCCCGACTGCTGCAAAGCATCCTAACGTCCGGCCTTAGTTAAAATAATTTCTAAACAAGTTACCTACCTAATAAATTTCGCGTTTTAAACCGTTAAAGTGTTATATTTAAATAAAATGTATATTTTAATTTTAGTATGACAGTGGATCAACGATGAACCCAAAATAATGATTAGTATAGACTAAACAAAGGCTTGAATCACATGATTACTGTGTTATGTTATATGCTGTATTTCTGAGTTGCGCATACGCATCCATTACATCAGCAACAATTTAGAAAACGACTTACGTTTAAAAATATTCTAAAACCCATTCCCATGCAAATTGAATCGAGATATACCTAGCGAGTCCCTGTTAGACGGCGGCTCTGAAGATGTGACGTATGAGGCCCGTTGCGACAACCGTCTCTCGGCATCTGCGCGCAGCGGTCGCTCCGTCACAAGCTGGTGTCATATTATTGTTATTGACACGTTTTTGCAAGTGTAATAGTCATAATGTCTATTAGTATAATATAGGATGGTAAGTTTGAAAATACTTTTTTGCGGTGAAAAAAAAACACGAAAACTATTTACGTTGCAAACGAATAAATATATTTTTAAGAACAAAATTGATAAGAGAGATTTTTAAGATAATTTTTAGCGTATTTGTTGTTGATAATTAAGATCTAACATACTATAAAGAATACACTTGTACTAAAATAATAATAACAATATTAATCCCGTTTTGAACGTTTAAATAATCACAAAACGATTTTTCCGTCAATATTACAAATGATAGATAAAACCCTATGTTGATCTTGTTCCATGAAATGATAAACTATTACAAAAGAATGTATAATGCCAGATATCTAATGTTATTTGCATAACTTATCATCCTATATTAGACAAAGTATGTTGTAATATGAAATAGCATGATTGTGGAGGCCGAAGCAAATAAAGTATTGAAATATATTGCAATACAAGGAAATATACTATAGCAAAATAACTTTTAAAAGCATTTTATGTGAACGCATAAAAATCTTATTATCACTATATAATTTAAAAGTAAGGAAATAAATTGAAATTAAATTCTCATATACGGAATGTTGTATCCAATTAATGGTAGCTACCATGACATGTGATATGGTCGATAAGATTGTTTTAATTGTATCGTTATTGAGGAAAAGAGATCCAGTAAAACTGACTTGCATATAAAAATCTATTTATTACATCAAAGTAATAACCTTAAATTATTACTAATATAAATACTATTTTAAAATTAAAGCAATAGTATGCTAAAGTATTTTATTAATATTAACAATTCAAACTGTATAAATTAAAAATCAATTTTAGATTTTAAAAAATTTACAACACGGGCAGAACTCGAATCAGCATCCACAGCGTGCCGTGCTGTTTGCTCTAACTAATTGAGCTACTGAGTCCTAGACGTCATCGTCGAAATTTTTCAACTTATTTCTTGAAACTGTTGCAACATACTTTAAGATTATAATTCCTATAGCCATTTTACCTTCAGCTATAGTTAAATAAAATAAATTTAGCAGTTTAAATGCTTAACTTAACTTACCTCTTGTCTCAATTCGCGTAAAGGTGACGCCGTCGTTTCCAGCATATTTGGCGAACTAATGCTGTTGTTCATATTGTTGTTGCTGTTGTTGAAAGCGTTCGCTATCGCCGATGTTATGGCACTATTTATCGTACTATTAACGCCGTTAGATGTCGCTGATGTATACCATTGGCTACCGCTTGACTGAAGACTCACTTCGCTCTGAAAAATGTATTAGTTGAACATTACATTAAAATCTTAGCCACTTTCTCTTTAGCACTACAAAGTAAGAAAGTTTTCTTTCACTTAAATACATTGTTCGAATTTTGTCTCTGTTGTCTGACGTAACAGATAAGAAATATTGTATAATGAAAATATTCATACCTTTCTGCTTCGTTTCTTGTGTCTTGGAGTAAGCGTACCACTACTACTTATTCTGGAATTTAAAATTAAATACTGTTACTTTTTTTAATGCATTTAAAATGAACCTATTAAAATCTGAAAGTATCTTCAACACACAAACAAACAAACTTGACAAATAACCATCAAAACTGTCAGTTAATAGAATTATTATTGGCCAAAAAATATTTTGTCACACATTATAATATAAAAGGATAGAGGCTCACCTTGTCCGATTGAAAGCAGAAATGAATTTGGACTTTGACGTTGATCTGTAAAAAAATATATAATAATGTATAGGCGATTGATTTCTAACGCTGTATATGATTGAATTATATAATACGTTACGACTTACTCATTTCCAGTGGAAATATCAGACATCCTATTGGTCGCCAAACTGCGTGAATCAATATCACTGCTATCACGTAAATTAGCTCTTAGTTGTACTTCTGAGGACGCTTCGCTTAGAGCGTCAAATTCACTCATCTAAACAACAATAAAAAAGCAATTTAAAAATCCGTAATAAGACTTTTCGACTCGAAAGTTTTATAGCTTTTTTTTTTGGCAACCACAATTCTTACGAATCCTAGTTAATAGCCAACGAATCCTTAGAATGTAATTTCTCAAAGAGACACAATATTTTAGACTATCTAAAGAACGTTCTATTGTTTGCATTGCACGTGCATTTCTTTATTCTTGTTCTCTTAAAAATGCGAAAAAATCTTACCCGTTTCCCGAAATTCTGTTCCACCTTCTGCTGTAACTCATGGAAACGCTTCACAAGCAACGCATGCATCTTCTTGTCAGGATCTCGGGACGCGTGAACATCAAGCCCTGAAAAAGTTATGAAAAATTAATATTAGTCTTAACTATTTACGATGAGATCACGGTGGTTTTCGAAGATTATTTTTGTTAAGTTATGTCATTTACTATTTGTATCTACGTTAACCGTTAAACTCACCGAATTTAAGTAGAGGCACTTGATCAGCAATTAGGTCTTTTAGCTGCTGAAGTAGACCACAATGTTCAGGGTGTCTTGCTTCGTAGCTTGCAGTAAAGAACGCCAGTTCATAGTTAACAAGTCCGCCTTGTACTTGAGGGTCTAATATACCTAAAACAAAAGAACAAAAATAAATATTAGCTATTGCTTTTCAATACATTTTTTGTTTCCACTTTATAAATAGTATTGTCACTACTTTTACTTACCTTTATGTACGTTACATATATTATTTTCTAGTACAAATAGTGTTCGCAGAGCATACCCAGTTCGTACTAACCTTGCAACCTCATAGTGAGAGGATGGAGTATAGCATTTGTGTTCTTAGTCTCCATTATAACCCGTTTTAATTGTCGATTCGTGTTTGACATAGTCTCGACAGCAACTTCGAGAGGCGATACCAAGAACGTCCTTGACGCCACCACAGGGAACCATCGCAAAATACCTAAAGATAAATAATTTTAAAGAACATTAAGTTTTTACGAGTATATCAGGGTTGTAGTTTTGGGCCATTTTTATTCATAGTTTATATCAACGGTATATATAGTAACGGTATAGTTTATATTAATACCTGGTAAATTATCACTAATCTCAACTTCGGTCCTCTCTATCCATCTCGTTGCGAACTCTTTAGCTCCCGCAACATTGTTCCCGGATATAATGTCTCCGTCATCTGTAACGTAAAATAATAACATCGTAATGGTCTACTTAATAAAGCTTTGATAAGACAAACAATGAGAAAGAAACGAGAACTTACCATTTTTATATACAGGTCTAGAATAAATAAACTTATTAACATTATTGTTTTCATAATACTGCAAAATCCGCTCATCGACTGGTTTGCCGACCAGATGAGCCCACTTTTCTGATATCACAGGCGTTACCGCGTTTATTTGTAAATCTGATGTATACAATAAGGAAAATATGCAAGGGTCTCAATTCCGCTATTAAAGTTAGTTAGACATGTTATGTATTTATTGCTAGACGTTGCTAAGATTGGTTTCTACAAACACAACAGCTGCGACTCATACTTTTTTAAAACGACTTCATACTTTAAAAGGCAAAGTCATAAGGACTTGCAAAAAAAAGTCATTTGTAATAAAGTGTGTGTCTATTAAGCTAATCTAATTTATTATGTTTGTAATAAACAATCCTTGTGACTAGTTCATAAATGAGCAAACTAGGGATGAATTATTGTTTTAAATTAGTCTTATAAAAATACATATTATAATGTGTGTATCGACTTATAATTTAAAAAAGATACATTGTCCATCGGACTCTGTAATGTCTTCTCCTGGTTCATCCAATTTCAGGAGAACCTCGGCTTCGGGCCATTCATCGAGCATTCGCTCTTTGAAATTATGTAGCATGTCACATTCGTTGCCCCGGTAGACGAAGCCCTAAAAATTAAAATGGAATACAAAATATAATCTTTAGCTCTTTAAAGTTGAACTTTTACTTCAAAAGCTGGAACCAAATCTCCAATCTCACGAAGGAACGTGGAGTCCAGATGCCACTAGACCAACACAGCTGACATATTTCATGGTAATAAGGATAGTATGATAACTAACCTTCGGCGTTAGTAAATGTGATGGAAATCCTTTTCCTAAATAGCGGACCCTGAAGTAGGAATTTGGAAGTCGCGTCTGATGCAATGTAGCGCGGTACAACGACGCCAACAGCTCGTGTAGATCAGCCAACGCCGTATAGTCTAATGCGTTCTGTTCGTGAACTAAGACCAGCTCTTTTATGACTTCGACTGCCGCTTCCCATTGCCTGCCAGACTCGAGTAACCGTGCCATCTCTTCATAGAGGAATATCTAAAATTTATGAAGTAAAAGTGAAATTTCTTTACGCCATACGAGGCTTGTCGACATATTGTGTCTGCTATATTGAATTTATTGACTGAACTGGCAAATGTATTTTGACTAGATTTGATTACACGGAAAAACGGTTCTTGTGACTTATCTTAAAGTTAGACATAGACCGTCGCGGACTTTTTTAAATTATATATTTAAAGAAAAATTTTCGCAGCACACGCAACGTAAGATAAATAACTTTTCCCGTTTTTTTTTCACATTTCTCACTGTTTCTTCGCTTTTATTGTTCTCGGCCTGATGCTTTATAAATCAACCAACACTAAAATAATTGTTTATATTTTCATCTCAGTAGTTTCTGGGATTTTGCGTTCAAATATAATAAACTCACTATTAGTTTTATAACATAAATATAGTTTTTTATCCGAGTAAAACCGAAACTATATCTTAATGCTGATTCAATACCTTTAAATCCAAATGCGTGTGGTGCGACTCAGGCGCAGCGGGATGCCGTAATCTTGGAGGTAACGCAGTGTGACTCCAATCGAGTAATTTAGCGTGAAGTTTCAGAGTGAGACCGGCTTCGGCCCAATGTTGGGACGCGCGGTGCATTGCAGCTAATCGGTGTACGTATCTAAAGAAATATATTTTTAAGGAAACAGCGTTTACGATTCGGACTCTAATAGATGAGATATTAAAAATGGCCGACTTAGCAAAGAAATATAAGTAAAATTCTTTTTTTTTATAATTAATACTTCTTTTTAAATAAAACACTTTTAAACGCGATATTACGCGATTAACTACAGCGCGACGTTTCGTTTAAAGTATTCTATTGAAATGTACTACTCCCGTAAACTACAGACAGTATTTAATACTTCCTATTGGATTTCAGTCTGAATTAAAATATGTCTGTAAGCGTATGTACATTTTATTCAAAATGTTCACTCCGGTCTTACCTTATGTACATATGGGGCCGTTCAATCTGCTCGTAGAATCGTAATACACTAGTGATCAAATACATTCTATGCGACGTCGGCGCAGCTCTGTACTGAAGCAATGCGTCCAGTTGTCTAGCAGCTGCCGCAACGAGGGTTGACCCGCATTGACGCAACTCAGAACTTTGATTGCACATAGCGCCACAAAGAGAAACGAAACGTGCCCGCCACGCTGCATCGCCACGCCCAGCTTCAGCCAGTACGTCTAGTTTATCAATGAGTTCGTTCTCGAAAGCACGCAGGTTTCCCTCTCCTTAAAACGCGTTAAAATGCTTGTGTAAGTAAACTTATAAAAATAAAATAGTGATACATTAATTAATTTTATGTAGATTTTTTATAGACACATCATTTTTAGAACGGTTTTTGATTATTTTTTTCGTTATTTTTGAATGTTGGTGAATCAAAATAATAAACATGCGTACATTTACGTTACCTCAAAACTATATTTTAAAAATACAATCACATTATCTTCCCCAAAAAAACAATCATCACAGCTAACGTGTTCAAATACGTCAATAAAAATAAAAGGTACCCGTTAAAACGAATATCGATGTTTTTTAAAAAGGTGGGTGTCCATAACCTCTTTGTGTACCTTTGTGTGTGTTACTTACCATAAGTGTCCAGTGTATGTCGAAAGTCGGTTTGCATCATATCGTAGAAAAGAGGTATGATCGTGTTGCGGACTTCTTCGTCATTAAGGAAACTCACTTCCAGGAACGGCCCCACTAATTGTGGAATGAAGTAACGCTTGTGCTCTCCTGAAAAAGTATATACAAGAATAATTACTGCAGTTGTTATTGTCCTTGAAAGAAATCTACAATGTTTGATGGCATAAAAATCTATTCTTGAGAGTATGTTGAGATTTCGTTTGATCTATCAGAGTTTTTCCACAACATCATAGCTTGATAAAAATACCAAGATAGACAACTTATAACTACCTCCTTATTACAGTTGTGTTTAAAAAGAATACTGTCCAATTTTACAATGTACACATTAAAATAAAAATGTATTTAGACAGTGTGTATACTAAATGTCCAAAACCTAACTTCACATTGATTACTAAAGAATACGCTGTAAAGATTTCTTGAAAATCATGATAAAATATAAATCAAATTTTAAACTGTTAAAAATATTAAACATCAACTTAGGATTAAAATATTACAATACGGGCGGCATCTGAAACGGTATTGACAGCGTTTCTCGCTGTTGTTCTAACCAATTGGCCTACCCTGTCCTACACGTCATCGTCAATTTTTTTCAACCTATTGATACTTGTACCTCTCGCGCATAGTAATTCCAACCTTAACATTTAAGTAATAAGTTCAAATTTAAAGTTTGTTCTACGCCCCTGATTTGAGAACTGGTAGTAAATGTAAAGTTAGATTCTTTAGTTTTGTGACGTTCATAAGTGTACATAGTTACCTACATGAATAAATGATTTTTGACGTTTGTATACTAATCGCATCTGCAGATACAATCCAAGGGAATCATATAGAATACTTACCCAAGCTATGCCACATCTCCGCAGCCAAAGTAGCGGCACTGCGTCGTATATCGCCATATAGCATAACGACTCGGTGTTTCCTTGTTGCTGGTACGCTTTCGAGCTGCAATGGTGGCGACGACGCAACCAGACCCACAGTACTGAACCACTCTGCTAAGGTTGAGTGAAGGCTGTTCAATCCATCTGTATCACTCTCGTCTATAGAAGCCAGGCTGTCCCGAAGCATTCTGGATAGTAACCTGTAAAGATAGTAATATTTATAGAAATCGTTTAGCAGTAAGTTGATTTATCCTGTCATTCGTATATTTTTATGACATGTATAAAAAGTATGTACAACAGTACCCTAGTAGTAATAAAAAGAAAACAATATATTTATGTATATTATAAATAAATAAATATATATATATATATATATATATATATATATATATATTTATTTATCATATAGCATTTTGTTCACTTCCTCTCGGAGGAAGGTGAATAACCCCGCCGTATAACATCTATTGCATATAGGTGCGCTGTCGCCCTATTTTGGCTTTAATTTTATATATATTAAAAACTCGCCTCAATGCATGCATCATAACGTAATGCTGCAAGTGTAGCATATCTGCCCAGTGCGGCCGAAACACTGGCCTCTGCAGCAGTGACGTCATTAACGCAAGCGCATCTTGCACGAGCGATTCTGATCTTTCAGCGCTCTCCGCTTCAACCGTCTTCATCACCATTGTATATTGCTCTTCGGACATCTGGCGCACCATGTCTAACAGCACACAGATGAGTTTTCGCTGTAAAATATATAAATTGCTTGCACTACGCGATAGTAAGCCTAAAGTTGTCAACTCACTAAAATCGTACACACACAGACAAAAGCATTACATAGGGAAATTGTAGCATGGTAATATGCTAAGACAGTAACGATTTTTTGCACTCTAGAAAGTTACCTCATTCGTAACATAAATAGAAGAAAATAAGAAAAGTGCTATATGTATAACGTAACGTCATAGACGACTAGGGATGTATTCCTGTTATGGATTCTCGATGTTTATCGTAAAATCGTATAACAAAAAAATCATACGTATGGAGTATGACCTTTTAATAATATTATAAGTTGATTTAATATATCACAAAGACGATATTCGGTAAAAGTGATATCCCTCGAGACTCCGTTATGGCATTTTCTCAAAAGTGCCAATTAAATCATAAATATTCTAATAGACTCATAACTGTTGGTATGAGGTTCTCACCAGTAAAGGATCATCGTTAGCGATTCCCTCTTCTCTTCCCCGTTCTCTGATCATCGTGACAGCTATCTTCAGCACAGTAGGTAACAAGGCCTTCGCCAATACGCCCCTATCGCCTTCCACTGGTCCCACATCGTCACGTGCCAAAAGTGTGACGACCTCGCCCAATGTTTCTACACATAACTCCACCTATACAGATTGTAATAAAATATTTGTATAAATAGACTTTCCTATTTAAGACTAGAGTTTAAGAATCACTAAAGACTCTAGTGAACACTTGTGAATGAGTGGCCTTGGGCTATTTTACAATACGAAAAATATAGCGTCAAGTACTGTAATCGGTATTAAGTATAAGTTTAGATATAGTAAAACAGATACACACATTAAAAATAATAATTGATTTAATTAAAAATTCGCAAATAAAAATTAACTTTTTAAACCATTTATCACGGGACACAAAGCGCTCCTGATTGGTCGGGTTTATGATGACGTCACTTGCTTATAAGCTGGGCCAAAAAATACCTCGTTAATGTTAAAACTGTTCTCTGAATTAATAAATAAATCAATTTGTTACTCAATTTATTACTTCAATCACACTTAAAATGTAAATGTTTGAACATTGTAGATCATATAATCGACATACACCAGTGGCCAATATAAGGTCGTGACGTCACTAGCCGTATTGCAGCGTTATTTCGTAAAATTAGCGTTTAGATGCGCAATTTAAATGTTGAATTTTTAATTTTATATATTTCAGGAAAAATCAAAAATACTACACTTTTCCTAAGCATCTACCAAATAATATAAAATACATTTTCAAATAAGTCAAAAAGCCATTATATCACCACTTGAACAATTAATGAAAATACATAACTAACCTCGCTCTTCCACTTGTAAAGCGCTGCATAAAATCAAATTAAGTTAAAACCTTATATCACTTCAAATGCTATATTATATGATAAAACTTAACATAATAAGAGCAATTACACTACTAAACCGTAATTAATTGCTCCATAAAACCACTGTAACGCAAATAAATATGTATACATACAAACTGCTGTTGCTGGGAGTTATCGATGAGGCGAGTGGTATCAGCGCCGAGGAGTCTGGCTGCCTTGCTGACTGATCGCGACTTTATGGCTGCTTCGCGCTCCCACTGCACACCAGCCACTAACGCTAACCGATGACACGCTACACCGACACTGATCATGGTGGGACCGCGAAGTTACTTTTGCCTCGTATAGCAGTACACTAAGCTTTATTAAAATTGCACATGATGGCATTATATTAATTAAAAATCTATTTAGATTGAAAAACATCACAATGATGACACGAGCGGGACTTGAGCGTACTCTATCTTTCCATACTAAAATTAATAAGGGTAAAAATTCGTTTAATTGTTTTCATCATGATCAGTGCCGTTTCAACTTGTTAGATAATTAGATAACCACACACTGTTGCAATAAATAATGCAATTTTTTGTTTAGCTAATCATCGTGAGATTATCTAATTCTGTGTCTAATCGGTTTCGTTACAAGCATACACCAATATTACGACAAATTATAACGAATTAACTTCATAACCACAAATAAAAAATAATCGAAACTGTTTGTGAACAAAGAAGAAATTCTAGTTCTAATATTCAGGGGTAACCAAGCTTATTGATTGTTTGAGATTATTTGATTTTGAAGGGTTTGAAGAGAACGTAAAAAGGTACTTAATAATACTATTTTTTTAAATTAACTTCAAATATAAACATTATTAACGATAATTTTAATAATAATTGTAATAAATGGAAATACTACCTACGAAAAAATGTCTCAAATTATCTAAAAAATACAGTTCAAGTTCAAGGTTCAAAAGCTTATGATTGGTTACCCCTGTTATATATATAAGTTAATTCATTATAATCAATCATTACTCGTCGCAAAAGACATCTTGATAGTACGTCCTCTACGACCATGCTTCACATCTTGAGTTTGCACACAATTCAGAAAGCGACATCGAAAGCTCGCTTGTTATTTTTTTAATAAAATTCGAAATTCAAATGTTAAAAAAATCTCGGGAACTTAAATATACAGAGAACATAATGTGTTTGGATACTTTGGTAAAACATAATAATGTCAAAGAATGTTTGTTGTGTAAAATGGTGTTGAGTAATATATAATTTTGTATGAAGACATGGACAAACAAATAGTTAGTAGTGAAAACACTCACACAATACACAGCACTGCTTACAATATTCACGAGTAACAAGATTTATTCCCTACACATTGTTTATATAATAGAATAACAAACACACACCTTCCGATTCTTTTGAACTAGATGGTTGGAGTAAAAAGGCCTATTTTTTTCTATGTTCAAATTTAAATAACTTTTACATTCATGATTAATACATAACAATGTATTTAAGGTAAAATTAGAATTTAAAAAGCTATTGTTAGCAGTACTTTAAACACACATGTGACTTAACATGCCCACACACACACACACATAAATAGTAAATACACAAAGGTGATAGGTTAATAAATACATAGTACTTACATCTAATATACTAGGGCTCTATTTGTTAGACTTTCAACGAATTAAAACGTTAAACATTCCAAATGTTTGGTTATATGAAGTGATGGGCGTTTTAATCCGTTAGTCTTCGCTTTAAATAATTCTGTCATGATATGAGAAATTACGATTTGTGTGCATACCTCACGATGCGGGTGAGAAGATTGTTCGAAAGAAGAGACTTCTATGTAACCCACTTTTTATACCTTATAAATGCACTATGAACTATTTTAAAGCACCATAATATCTTTCAAAGATGTATTTTATTCATCATTCATATATGGTGTATACATTTTTTAGTATTCAATTACTCCATTCTTTACAAGTAATCATGCAATATATTCGACTACATGCAGTTTTGGAGAGAAAAGTTCGTCTAAGTTTGCTTTAATTTATTTCTGGAAATCCCATGGCTACATTATGTTTTTAAGACATAAATCTAGATATAGATGTTAAAGCAAACAGTTAAAACATCGATACAAATACAGTGTACATCAGGCATCATGCATAGCGTGCTCTTACCTTGTGTTCAGCGAAGGACATATATCTGCCAGCCGGTTCTCGAACTTATTGCATTGAGATTACATCGAGAATCGCAGTAAATTTGTAATAATGGAAAATAATCTTTTTACTTTAATCCGGTTAGAAGGACCATAATTTTGCAATTCTCGTCATAATATCACCTATTGCCAGAGTGCCATGTGCATACATACCATCACAACGTGGTGTTTAAACACGGACGAACACAACACATTCGCTGTCTATTACTATAGGCTTAATCGAACCAAGATCGTTTAGGATGGAAGGAGTTAATGAGATCACCAAACTAAATACGCATTGATGAATTAAGAAATGTTCTTGATCCGACGTAAGCCAGTCTACTAACTAAGCTAAAATTTGACGTAAACCTTTCAGTGCTTACACACCGAATAATTTTCATGTGACAACCGAGTAGTTGAATTAATATGGTAGAATTTACCAAAAATCATATAACAATGTGCTTGATTTCAATAAACAGAATTGTCACACAAAAATTATATTTGTAACACATAACAATTTAATTATGTGTAATTTAGTGTTGATATTGTAACGCCTGAATTATGTAGATGTGTGTGTCTTTGTTATTCCCAAGCAATATGTCCAGCCCCTTAGTATTTATAAAATGCGTTAAATTTATATAATCTCCCAACAAGTTTATTATGCAATTTACTAAATTAGTATGTTTATGGAAGTACCCCGCAATGTTTAATTGAGCGATGTGTATATTTGAAAATGGAATGTCGTTTATTTTGTTGAAATGCGAAATTTTTCGTTGTGTCTGGACAAAATGATCATTATTTTAAAAAGAAAAATGTGTATTTTTGGTATACTAGATTAAATTTTATTTAATTATCTTAAACCTCGCCAATTACTAGTTACGTACCTCAGCAGGCGCTCGCAATAAGGCCCGTAGTGTTTGAGCAAGGTGAGGCAAGAGTATAGCCCGTGCGCCCGCGCTGGTACCGAGAGGTCCTTTGATTAGTTCTAGAAGCGCATGTAGCCGCTGATTTGATAAACGTCCGAGCGGTAGTGCTTCCAACGCTCGCACTGTGTATTCGCTGTAAGAAAATGTTACCTTTAGATCCTTAAATACGTGTACACGTATGTGATAACAATAATATTATTTCATACTTTAATCAATAAGTGCTCTTTGGTCCAATACTAGTAACGTATTTCTAATCAACGGGTCGTGAATCCTATCCCTACCGGGTCCAACATGTTTCTAATCAATGTATAATTTTTCTGAAACATTTGAACTCCATTTGGAAATACTTTTTTTAATGATAGCGGAGTACAGACATGGCATGGAGATCACTTGATAATAGGTGATATACTCGCCTATAGCTTCTTAACAAGATGCACTGGGCAAACATATGTCTGTCTCTGATTCACAGTTCGATTTCATTTACAGGCGATAATGGTAATACTTATTACACAATACAAATATTTGTAAAGATACCTGAGCTGTGTATCTGGATATATTTTGATCATATGGGGAATGGCGTGTGGCAAATACTTGAGCGCGGAACCTTGACACGTCAGCGCGTGGTCACCGCAACGCATCAACCATACTAACGCTTCTAGCAAACTCTGGAATAGATAATAAACTTCTTTTATATCATGTATCATGAGAGAGTTAAAAGTTTTAAAATATGTATAACTTATAATTCCAAACTTATTTGAAAATTATTTTTAACTACGGCCCGACTTTTCGGTTGCTTTGCAGCGGCCGTCATCACGAGGACACTCAAATGGTAGGATGTCTCGGACGTCAAAGTTAAAAACTGCTACGCTAGCGCCATCTGTTCCGTCGAAGTTGGCATTTGGCGAAATTGATCGGGTTCTTGTAGAATTGACTAAAGGTGTCTTCGCGTTTGCCAGTATGCTGTTTATTGGAATTCAGCGTTTTTATTATGGGATCCCAAGTGTTTTAGTAATAATTTTTTCCATAAATGACAAATATATACAGAAATATCAATATATTGGGACCCCTGATAATATTTTGTGTTATAGGTATTGTGGTACGCTTTTCGCCCTTTGAGGGTGGAACACATTTTGAAAAATAAACTTTACATACCTCAAGTTGAGGGCAGTATGGGTCATTATCACCGTTCGCATTACAATTAGTAGCACGCGAACCTAGAGCCGCTCGCAGTTGCCGCGAACGAACGAGAACACGAACGAGGCTTTCAAGGCACTTCATACACTGTAATAAACGCTTTGAAGCCACCTCCCCGTTTTCAGCCGATTGTATTGCCCATACCATTATCGATATTAACTTTCTGTAAAAGAATTAAAATTATAAGTATATATATATATATTAGACAAATGTATCGGAAGTTAAAATAATACTATTAAAAGCAATCTAAATGTTCAAAAAAAATAATATAATGAAAAGTAGGGAGGAAAAATTTCTGCAAAATTGTAGACTTTTAATGACATTTCCACGTAAAAATATCTAAAGTGTGTGTGCCTTTTAGGTAGATGAAATATGTACTAACTTTATTTATTAAAATAAAGTATTATCATTACTTCATTTATATTGTTCCAGTTTCACTTTGACCTTTAAAACTGATATAGTAGAATTATGACTCAGCATAAAATAATTACTTACTCGTAAGCAAGCGCATCGCAAAAACTCTGTTCTATGTAAACATGTAGCACAGGTTGAAAATGCTGGTACTTGTGGTCCGCTACTAATGATATGACAACTAAAAGACAGTCTAGAACGAGCACTGCGTAACTCTGCTCTGTGTAGGAACAGCTCTCTTCTTCTACCTATAAGAAAGAAAAGGTTCAGGCTGTGATGGCAGAATTTCGCTTTCCATCTATTATCTGATCAATGTTATAATATTATCAATGTTAAATATTAAAAGTATTAAACAGACCTCTCATTTAGAGCCAAAGATTCGGGGAAAAAGGGGACAACAACGGACAAAAATTTAGTTAAAATCAATTATTTTATATCAGCAGACTGATTTTAAGTATAAATCTTTAATAGATTTAAACAATTCAGCAGGGGTCGAACCCACGAGCATCCAGTGCTATTGGTATGCCAATTAGGCTACCATGGCCTTCCGTGTCATCAATATTTTCATCTTAATAAAAATAATACTTAAAATATTTTAAGTATTATGTTTAGTTGTGGCCCAGAAATAAACTATTTATTTAATTTAATTGGCGACTGCTAACGTACCTGTGTCAGTATAGAGAACAGTGCGTCCAAGATATCTTGAAGGAATTTTACCAATTCGTCATTAGGCACTCGAAGTAACTTTGTTAGCGCAGTTCGTAAAGTTCCTTCAGCATGATGGGTACTCCACTTAAGTACGCCAAGGATTTCCTCTAAACAAAAAAATATATATTTTTGTATCTGGCTCGAAGGACTAAATCCTTATGATTAAAAAAATGCCCTTATGATATTTATTATAAAAATAATAAGCTTTTAATTATATTATAGAAAATTACATACATTTTTTTATAGTATGACATTGTTTTTGATACTTTTTTGTGACATTTATTACATGCAGCGGTGGATTATTATAAACATTTTATCAGTATTATCATTATTGTCAAAAAATCATGTTCTCCACTTGACAGTACTGCTACAGTTTTTCTATCTGAATACCTAAAATATAATCTACTATGATATACATATATAATGTACCTTATATAATTATAACCTTATACATTTATACACTTTTAACCAAAACAATACCTCTTTGTGTTAACTTCGTTGAGCATAACTTAGTAGCGACTGTTAGGGTATCTCTATGGACCAGTGATAGTGGACCTCTTGTCAGGCCCCGATCCGAACCGGCAGGGAGTTCATCTCGCCTGGATGGTAGCCCAAGGCACGCAGCTGCAGCTTCTGTTTCAACTTCACTTGTCTGTGATCGCTTGTGATCAATCTGCAATATTATTTTTAAATAATTATTTAAAAAAATAACCATGTAAGAACCTAATTAAAGGTTTAACTGCAAAGATTGCGTTGACAGACTCTTTGGTGTAATGGTAACAATGTACGGCTAATAAATAGCGGATCGCGGGTTCGATCACCACCGGGTCCAAATGTTTCTAATCAATTTATAACTTTTCTGAAACATGTTTGACTTCGTCTCTCGTCGAAATCGACGAGAGACGAAGTCAAACATCACAGATCAAAAAGCCGTGAAGTTTAATGACGTTTCGGTTTAGGTTTTAGGTTAGTCTGTAGATTTCCGAATATCCAAAGCTAAAATAGGTCGACAGGGCACCTTTTTTTAGACACTAGGCTGGGGTATTTTCACCTACCATCAAGTGAACCCCACGCTTCTCTGTCATCCTCTATTGAAGGATCTAGAAAAATATCCCCTCTCCCCCCAGTCCTGGAAAAACCACTTTGTTAAACGGCATCAAATAAACCAAGCCCTACCTTGTAAACCGCCAGATGGTGCTGAGTATCAGATGTGGTCGTGCCTTCTTTTTGCATTAGCCGCAAGTAAGCTAAGGCAAAATGTCTTTCACTGCGATCTTTTGCCTCATTTGAACTTCGATGCCGGCAGAGAAACACTATATGCGCTTCCTTGAACTCTTCTATATTCAGACAAACCTAGTAAACAAATTTTTATACTAATAACTGATTTATATTTTATAAAGCTTTAAGAGTTTATTCTACTGTGCGTATCACATGAACAAATTCTTTATTCAATGAGTACACTTGAATAGAAGAAATATGTTTGTGTTAGAATCGATTGAGGAAGGTTTTAGGCTACAAGCATCACGCTGCAAACAATAGGATAAGAAAAGAAACAGTAGAAACAATCAGAAAAAATTATTCATAAATACTGTCTATAGTTTACGTTTAGAGTAAAAGTACACATTTAAATAAAACACTTTAACGGTTTAAAACGAGATATATTAGTTAAACTTATTTGACTAATATATCGCGTTTTAAACCGTTAAAGTGTTTATTAAAATTATTCATCTGAGGGTTTCCGTTGCGTGCGCTATAAAATGTATGAAAGAATGATTCCTCTTATCTAAATATTCTAAAAAATGAGCAATTTAATACCTTAAACACTTCTTGCCAACGAGGTCTGTCTTCGTGATAGTAAACTATAGAGGTGTATTCGTTGACTAGAGGTACGCCAGCGCCTATTGAGATCACACCCTGTGGAGTTGTAAGTTACATGATACGCAGTCGCCATTACAGAATATATTTCACGTTTCAAACTGGTTATAGTGATTAATTTAAATCAAAATCTTATCAGTAATAAATGGGTCTAAATATACCGGTATTGTCTGTCCATTTTTATCCACCACTCTAGCCACTAATTCGATATTCCTTTCAGAAGATTTCCCTCCGCCCCGCGAGAAGGAGCCGCTGCATAAGGTGACGTACAGATCATTCCGGGCATCCCCCGGTAAAATCACTTCGGGGAATCCCATTTTTCTCGCGAAAGCGCTGTTCCCCACGACAATGTGCGGGTTTTCTTGGCGTATCTATAAAAAATATATATATTACATTAAAATAATGTAATGTCTGTTTACACGAGTAGTCACACATTAACATACAACACGTTTAACGGTTTAAAGCGCGTAATGTAACAGTTAAACATATTTACAATTTTTACGCCTTAAGTATTAGTAAATAGGTTTGACTAATACCTTTCGTTATTGTTAGTGTTATGAAAGTTTTATTAATTTTCTATTAATACGCGATTTGGACTGGATTTTAAAAGTTTGATATAATAATTTTGTTTCTTACTTGTTTCAAATCGCCCTCAAACATCTGAAGATAAACCCATAATCCCTGAGTATGCTTCTGGTCCTTGAGATCTCTATTCGATATCACTTTCTTCAAGAGAGAGTCCATGTTGTCCTTCTCACATCTGAAAGAGTTACTTTATTTTCGTTATTGTATTATACTATAGAAGAAAAAGATTTTTTTAATTACAGAGAAAGACAAACATGGAGTTTACTTGGTGGGAGGTGAAATACCCCGTCCATATAAAATCTATACAAGATGCGCTGTCGACTTATTTTGGCTTTGGATATTCGGAAATCCACAAAATGAAACTGAAATGTGATTGAACTCCACGGCTTTTTCATTGTGATTCGTGACACAGACAAATTTTGATAATCCTACCACCCATTTAATGTCCAGATTTCCAGACGAAGTCGAACATGTCCCAGAAAAATATTTAATTATTAGAAAAGTTGGACCCGATGGGGATCAACCCACGACCCGTTGATTATTGCCCGTACATTGCTCAAAAATATAACAAAAATGTAAGATAGAATTCGTGACGACAATGTTGGTATAATAAAGTATGGAGTGTTAGCATTGTCAATACATAACATATTTAAAATTACATACGCATAAAACGGTAGCTGTATCTCCTTGTCCGCTTGCTGATTGGACAAATGCTGTGTGACGTCAGCGAGCGCGACGCCGAATGGCCGCCTCATAGAACCAGCACTCGTGGTTGGCAACGCGCCGGTTATTGTGCTGCGTCTGGGCACACAGGATATTCGATCGAAACTAGATCGGTAGATTATAGAAAATATATAGATAGGAAGTGATAGATAAAAGAACGACAGACTACTTATATATTCTAAGAGAGTAGAATTGGAATAGTAAATTAACAAAATAAAACAAATCAAGTGAAGTTTATAATCTGAAGTTAGGCATAGCGATATGTCACGTTTAACTGTCAAAGTTAACAATGTCACTGTGATCTGTCAAAAAATCAATAGTGAGACTGTTCCGTTAATACACGTGCGAACTGACAATAAATCCGACACACCCGTCTACATCTCTGTCATACGATGATTATACGGGAAGGATTAAGAACTAGGAACATGAAAAGTCTTTAAAAATAGTATTTCAAAAACTTTATTATTTTTATATGCACCTAATAGGATTACAAAAATAAAAAATGTTCATTAAAATTATTCGATTACACTAGGACTTGAACCCGTATCCACAGCAATCCGTGCTACTTATATCATCAATTAATCTTCTCATAAGCTACATATTAGAAAAGACTAATCTTATTGCTACTGATATTACGGTAAGATTTAATAAAATATTTACCTATGATCAATATTTTGTGGCTCCATAGACCCCAATCGTACAACGTGGCAAACGAGGAATATTTTTTCTTTTTTTATGTCGCTCCCGAGATCCTGAAATGTTTTAGTGCTTATTTCAGTTTTGGGTTACTTATTTAACTTAAAGAACAACGATGCTGATTAATAAATAGTGCATGCATAATTATTCACAATTCACAGTTCACAATTGATTTAATTTAAAGCGAAGCTATACCTGACTAGAATAATGTGCTGCTAGCAAGATAGTGCTCTCCAAACTTTCGGCCGGACAAAAGTTAGCACGGAAGGTTACGCAGAAAGCAAAAATTTGGTATCAGAAGCAATAACGGGGGTGCGCGGGTGCGGAGCTTCGACTTTTTGATTAAAATTGATGGCTGTTGCACTTACTTCAGCCCGACCCAAAAGTTTAGAGAAAAATGTATGAATTAAAATTAATTAAATAAAATTAGACAAGCTTTGTACATTATGTTAATATGTCATTTCTCAGAAGTGGGCTTACCGTGAAAACAAGAGAGGGCGCTGTAAACAGTTCGACGGCCAAATTCTGCGGAGGCCAGCGTAGTAGTATACTCTCAGTAAGCTTTATGCCACTGGAATCGTGCAGCGCTAGAGACAATTCAGCCACGTCGCTCATGCGGCATACAAAGTTCTTCACATTAACAACCACAGTATATGTACGCGCAGTCGGACCTTGGCTTGTGGGTCGGCTGGAGGGCGTGGTTTCCTGGAAAAGTAAAAAAAAACTATGAAAACATAATAGGATAAGATACGTGCATGTCTATAATAATCTGTAGTTTACGCAAGTAGTTAAAAATATAAAACTCTAAAACTTCTTTCTTCGCAATATGTTTCGTCTTCAAACGTTACAAGTGTTTTTTAGGTTAAATTTTAGAATGTCTGTTTAATTTTTATTTTAAATCTATGAAACAGCGGTCTATAGAAGCAAGCGTGGTATAATTTGTGATTTAATTATTTTTATGTGGGTAAACAGTAAAAAGCCGTATTTTGCCGTTTTTAAAAAGAAGCATTACCATATTCTTATCTATTCGCGAGTTAGCTTCGTCGTGTAAAGCGTTTAACTTGAAGGTCGACGTTGTCAATGGGTCCACCAATTGGCCACTTATTGTTCTTACAGCTAATTCCATGCCTAATATTCTGGAATAAGAAAATAATGTTAAAAAATCTTCCTATAAATAGCCACTTGCTATATTGTCCGATCCCAACGGTCCGAAATGTTTCTAATTTATATTTTTTCTGAAACATTCGCCTTCGTATAGTAATCTAGATATTAAAGGGATAGTAAGACTTTTGAAATTCCATCCCGGTCACGAACCATCGTCCACGAAAGATCCGTGAAGTTCAATCGCACCTGGGTTTCAGTGTGTTGATTTCCTAATATCCAAAGCCAAAGTAGGTCAAGAGCGTATCTTGTTTAGATGCTATATGGCTAGGGTATTTCATATACCATCAAGTGTACTCCATGCTTGTCTTTTGTCCTCTATCATAAAAAGGTAATTTTTCTTGATTATAAATAAGTTGAACTAAAGTAGGTACCTATTTCCCTTATCTATAGTGAAGACGGCAGTCCTGGCAACGCGACGTAATAAGTCTTGAGGTAAAGCTCCCGAGGCCGCCTGCCCCCTCAATTCTAATAACGCCCTCATGCTCACTTCCATGAACTTGAATCTGTCATCGTTTTTCTGAAAGTTTATAGACAAACTATAAAAAAACTCATCGAATTTAGTTACAAGCAAGTAAGTGATAAGCATTCTGTAGTATTTTCGAAGCATTAGCATTCTAATAAAATGTTTAAAGCTTTCACGGCCATCGTTCAGCATACCATTTTTTTTCGGGCTGCTCGGCCGACGTAAGCCAATAGAGGTTCTCGACGTTTCGCCATCACGAGCGGGTGGTATCATCAGGAGTTGTTGTAAGCTTCTCGATTGCTTGAGGAACGAGGTCGAACAGCCCGAAAAATAATGATATGCATAAACTTTCTGTATCCCTGGACTCAAAGCTAGAGCCATAGAGGCTTTGTTCAGCTTTTAAATGACGTTTATACTTACTGTATAGAGAGCCTTCCAGTTTTGCAGCCATTCTCTAAGGGTCACTGCAATGTCATGGACCACTCCTCCGCCTCCGGCAGATGCCACCACTGTCTCGCCACATCTAAACGAACGAAAATTAAAACAATATGGTGGTAAAACTGATCTATGGGCATGTTGTACAATTTATTAAGTAACGTAACCGAGCGTAACTTTCAAAAATGCGTTTAGTCGCATATAAATAAATACAATTATTGCATAAGTATTCAATGGTCAGGCCGTATTTAGCGGAAATATTTCAGATTAATAAACAAAACCAGAATATAAGCGCTAATTGTCCCATTCAGAATTAAACCAAACGGAGCCGCCATTACACAGCTTTTATGATCCATATGTCAGGATAAAACAAGGCATTTAGCACGTACAGAAAAGAAAAACATTTGCCAAGTCTGTTGTAAACATTATGGCATTGCGGGAGTCCTAAACTGTGTTTAAAGGTCGTAAAAGATTAATATAACATATATTTAAATTTTTTCTGTATATGATCAGACGTCGAGTTTCATTTCATACTATAAAATTAATGGATTATTTATATGGTCCACGCCATTATAGCAAAAGCATTTAAGACCGTGTTTAATATTTATATAAAACGGTTTACTATTTCAAGAGCTCCAGTCGAACATCTATTCGTGGGATAAAATCCCACGGGACAAAATTACCCCTTCAGTTTCACCGTAGTCGTATAAAAACACAATTTCAATTACTGAGGTCTGGGTCATGATTCATTTATATTATCGATAGGTCATCGACCCTGTCAGCTTTATTATCTGAATTCGTTTGACCGCGCGGGATAACTTCATTCTTTATGAACTTTGTCCTAATTTCATTGACATACTTGAGAGGACATTTCAATTTATATGGTCGACATTAAAACATGGAGGATGGTCGACTTCTCGAATGTTCATTTTCTTGGAAAATATATACATACGATTATAGTTTTATTTCTATTTTACAAAATCATATAATATTTTACAATTAATTCCTTTCGACTGCACAATACGTTCTCCAAACAAAAGTAATGTTAGGTGTTTTTTTTATATTGAGTTCCTTTTGAATTTAGTTTTAGGGCTCGTTGGTGTAATGGTAGCAATGATGAGTCAATGATCAACAGACCGCAAGTTCGACAGGTTCCCACGGGATCCAAGATGTTCCTAATCATTGTTATATATATATATATATATATATTTTTTTAAACATACGGGACTTCATATCACCGAAGAATCAAGTAATCGAGGAGTTAACATCTCCTGATGATGCCGTCCACACGTGATGGCGAAACGTCGAGAACCTCTTCTCACTCACATCGGCCGAACAGCCCGAAAGACAATGATATCTGAACATGGCTGAAATCCTTAACAATTTATTATACCGGACTTCGTTTGAAAATCTGAATATATAAATGGATAGCAGGAACATCGCAATTCCGTTCGGGTTACAAACCAAAATTCATAGATGAAAACCGTGAACGCGCTTAATCGTCTTTCGGTTTCACTCGGAGGATTTCCGAACATCCAAATCCAAAATAGTTCGATATCTTGTTTAGGTGTTATATGGTATTTCGCATTTCATCAAGTAAATCCCAAGCATGTCTGTCCTTCTTTGATTTTGGTTTATTTCGATATTCACACTTGCTTCAAGCACTTAGGCTGGCTTATCCTCAACGATACGTTAACGGTATGTATGTCCTTGTCTTAATGATTTACCGTATAGCATTGAACTGGATATTTAGATAAAAACTAACCTACTTTTCTTGCTATGGAATTGTTAATTATTAGGCGGCCTTGTCTTAAACTGCACATACTCTATGCTATAAGACAGACTAGCTTTTATACATATAGTGAAATTGTTTTCCCTAAAACTTAAGTAAAACAAAGAAATAATAATTATAGGCAAGTAGTTGATCACACTTATTTACCACAATACTATTGTTTGTAGTTTACGCGAGTAGTATACATTTTAATAAAACACTTTAACGGTTTAAAACGCGATATATTAGTTAACTTATTTGAAAATTATTTTTAACTTCGGTCCGACGTTTCGGATTCTTTGCAGCAGCCGTGGTCACGGGGAGACCGCTTAGGAGCAGTTTAACTAATATATGTATAAGTTTATCTAATATGTATCGCGTTTAAATTCGTTAAAGTGGTTTATTTAAATAATAAACAAATTAAAAACCGATTTCAGACTCGGACTTCTTACCTGTCTACATGACACTCTCGTATCATCACATAATTTTTGGGAAAGGCGCCGCTCGCATCACCACGGAGACTTTGCCCCCAGTACCAATCTTTGCACTCTCCTCTAAGGGTAACCAGCTCGCCCACTTCGAGCTGCAGGTGGTTGGGTGATGTGGCGTTAAAGTTGTACAGGGCTGTTAACAAAAGGTATTGTTTATATATAGGGCCATAGTCGAGCATTCGGTGATCTGTATCTCTCATTCAGTCAGTCTTACATTAAACGCAATGGGTCCTGGGTTCGAATCCAAGGTAAAACCTGATTTATAGCTCAGGCGTTACCAGTCATCGTCATAGGTACAGTAGATTTATTTTTAGTAGCATTTCCTTTCTATTTTTCTCCACATGTATAGAAATTGTAGAAATAATATTATAATCTCTGTTTCAAGGTAGTCGTCAATTTACCGTTTTGCACGATGATGGACTACCGCATTCCTCGGTTCAAAGAATTTCTGCGGATACCACGAGGCATGCAAATGTGTTACCAAAAATGTAAATACATGTATTACATTCAAACCTTATTGTTGGGCGTAATAATAGAAAACTGTACTGCATTTATTTAATATTACTTTCGTTAATATTATTACCATTACTATAAACAAAATTTATTAAAACATCATAAGAGGCGAAGTAAAACTTTAATTTAATTATAGATCAGGTAATATACTTTCCTTTTTCAAATGTACACGACTCGTCTACAATGTATAAAGTAGCATTTAAAAATACGCACTATAATAGTTAATCGACGTTTCGGTGGCTTTCAGAAGCTGTAGTCCACTTGTACCCGTGGTTAAAAATTTTTTGCTCAATTTAATAATTATAAATCTGATGCCAATATTATTTTAAATTCATACAAAATCCGCAGCCCTAATGAAACCAAAGATTATATCTTTAACCCTTTAGTACTATTAAGGACACTCAATATGAAAACACTAAAGCATTATTTCGCCAACATCTGGTTCTTGAGTTACAAAAATAAAACAATGTGCAAGTAGTACTTGCTTAAAATATTACAGCAAAGGGGCTGAAATATTGATTTAAAAATTTGATTATTATTGTCGTTGATTGCCATCTTTTCGGGATGAAAAACTTTATTTAACAAGAATTTAATATTTAAATAAAACACTGTAACGGTTTAAAACGCGTTAAATATTAGTAAAACTTATTTAAAAATTGTTTTACTACGGCTTGACGTCTCGAATGCTTGTCAGAAGCCGTGGTCACGGGAGACTAATATATACCGCATTTTATACCGTTTAAGTGTATTATTTAAATGTGAACTACTCGCGTAAACAGACAGCATTAGGAATTTAATGGCAAAATGGTTTCTGATGTATAATTTATTTTTTTGTAAAAAATAATATTTTGACCATGACTCGATTTGAAATGTACTCGTAATAAACTACATTCTCTTGTCTAATGTTTTGTATCGAAATGTAGAATTGGACATCGACCCAAATGATTAACTTTCTAACGAGTATCTCTCGCGCTAAACGCAAAGCAAGGTAACGTAGGTAGCTTAACCACTGAACCATTGTTAAATACAATAATCTATAGATGACTCACGTAAAATTTCCACAATATATAATATGCTATAAAATAAATCTAATATGATTGTGAACTACTGTAAAGAGGCTTGGAAAATGTAATTTGAAATTCAGATATCGTAAAGGGAAAGTCTTCAAAGAAATTTCATTAAGTAGGTAATAAAGGTGAACATCAGTATCAAGACTAGCTCACTAAAAGCTCTGTAAAGAGAACGCCTCCTAATTTAGTATAACAATAACATAGAGTAACCAAAATTGGATACGAAGGGTTTTTGGCGTGGCTCCACTGTTAGCGGCAAAGGGCTCAGCATATTTCTGTTTAGTAAATTAACTATGTACTTAATAGATGAAATGTAACTAAAAAGTGAAAAAACGCTTGTCTTTGTCAAATTAGTGGTCCTCGCGTTGAAGAGTAACAGACATTTGAGGCCGCTAGAGGCAGAGTACCCTATCCGTAATTTTATGACTTGGCTTATTTATATTTTTATTGTCTAAAAATATGAATCTTCAAGAGTACGGGTGACCGAAAACTGTTAACACAGATAACAGAACAAATTGATTTCCTTCTTATTAAATATCATGTTTATTGTATGGTTCTGGCTCCAACAGCCTCATTTATATGCTTTTCTACAGTTTAGTGAAATCCCCCTGAGGATCATGGAGCAGTAGATCAAACTTTTGTGTCTTATCCGACAAAACAATTTATTATAATATTTCCCTGAAATTCGAACCCAGGCGTATCGCGCTTAACGCATTGCTAGGCAACACGTTTAACAATCTGGATACAGACACGGCCTGTCTGTACTAGAGCAGAATAGATTAGCAGAATTATCAAGTGTGCGGAAATTGTCATAATAGATAACAAAAAAAATAACTTTTTATAAACAAAGAAACATTGTATGAAGCAGAACAGAGCTTACACATGAATTTAGAAATAATCTATCACGCCATAATTGGGACCAAACAACATTACATTGTACGAAATTACAATCAAGATGATTGTATGGGCTATATAGTATAGGTAGGGTTGCCAAACGTACTATAACATATACTATCGTACTTTACGTATTATTTATATGTAAAGTAATTTAAATTTATAATTTATGGTACGGTAAAATACAATAGTCCCGACTCCTTAATTCAACAATCTAATATTGTAATTTAAAAGTGTGTTATTACCAAATAATTTGTGTTTTTAATAATTTTCCGAAAGTTTTTAGACGTGTACCATATTTTTAAAGACTACATGACAATACAATATGTATTATAAACTAGTTTTTTTCGTGTTACTACCGGTTCGAACTGAAAAATATTTTTTGTCTTGTCAAACCAACACAAAAATAATTTTATCGAGGAAGGCTTTACGCATATAAAGCTGAGGAGATTCTTTGTAAAAATAAATAATATAAATATAACTGTTCCACCTAGATGAAGTTGCGGGCACAACCAATTTTTACTAAATTTCTAAACAATTTTGGCAACCCTATACATATATAGGAAAGGCATTATCAAGGGTGGGGCATTAATATACGTTAATATCGTTAGGCCTAACGATGTTGTGTCTCAAATCTGTTGTGTATTAAGAGAATGTATGTTCCCTAAATGAAATTATGGCTAACCGGCTAGTCGATTATGTTTAAGCGAAAAGTGATTTGCAAGGAAAAGCAAATACTTAAGTATATCATTATTATACGTTGTTGGTTACATGTGATACGCATACTAATAAGTTTACTTTTTATCAACAACGGACTCGAACCCTAGAGGGTTGGTAGACCAAAGCGTTCCTTGCGCTTGTTACTCGAAGATTTCAATCATTAATGCAATCTAAGTAAAGCAAGGATTCAAATAAGCTGACGATGTAAACAAATAAATATGTAGACTACAGTGTCCGTGTGGGAAAAAATACACAAATTACAGATACAACTTAAGTATTTACATCTGTTATATGTTGTGTGTGGGGTTTTAATTATCTATACTAATATTATAAATCTGAAGAGGTTTATTTGAAGTGTTAATCTCTGGCACAATTGGTTCGCAAAAAAATATTGTGGTGTACACATTTATTTTTCAATTCAAACCAGTCCAGTCCATTATTAAGGATTCATACTATAAAACATTAGGCTAGGACTAATAAGAGCGAAGATATAGTGAAAAATGAGATAAACAATACATATAAAAGAATTATGCTTCTCATTCTTCACAAGATGATCTCAAATAATATCAGTGACTCATATGTCTATCCTTTAAGATTATAACAAAAGAACCGTTTTGAGAGTAATCAAATTTGGTCGAAATGCTTCATGTGGCAAAAGACCATATGCCAGGCCAGCTCCTTACTTTACAAGTTTCAACTCGTTTAAATAAGTTTCATTCAGAGCCAGTAGCGTTAGAAATTAGTTTTAAGCGAATAACAGGCATTCATAAGTCTTTGTGTGAAACAACAAAACAACTTCCGTCACAGACTGGAGTGAATTAAGAACCAACAGATGTCCACGTAATTACTTAGCGTCAACGCCAAGTTATTTATAACATTCATCTTTCCTACTTACATGTGAATTGTCTTATGTAGGCGAAGAGCTCTCACAATCAAAATTTAAAGTTTTATGGGTTTCAATATATAGTATAATAAAATTTTAATTTACAATAAAAAAGTATAAATATATGTAAATTGTATACGTACAATAATCATATATAATTCTCTTATAGGAATGAAGCACGAACACGAGACTAAGGGCCGGTCCCAATAACTTACTTTCAGTTAAACTGATAGTTATCTCTGGTAAGCAGTTAGAGTTAAAGTATGTTTTTTCAATATTTTTTTCAACGAGCCTATAAAGAAAAGAAAAAAAGATGCTACCGCTTATCTAAATGCATGTCTATGAAAACAGAAACGCAAAGCTTCAAAAATTTTAACTGTCAGTAAAATTGATGCTTCTAGTTGAAAGTTAGTTGAATATTGGGACCGGTTGTAAAAAAATAAGTAACAATAACTGACAGTTCAAATTAAATAACGAACTAATTATAGCAGTTATTTCATCTTATGTTGCTTAGACAAATTAAAGGTGCAAGTAAAGTGTGTGTATCTCGTCTTTTAACAGAGATATCGAAAGTTGTAGTTTTTATTATAATCCGAAACAAACTAATAAACACTATTAATACGTAACAATGTGTGAGCTCTAACACAATTAATAATGAGCCCAATAGGGGCGGAATGCGTGATTCACGTTATAGCGCGACGAGGCGCACCAAAAGCGATGATATGCGCGCACGCAGGGAATAACGAACGACTGACGCTATTGCGCATAGACAGGTCACGGGACATCATTTATTGAATAATATTCTTTATAATTGAATAAAAAAATTATACTGCGCCGTATTTTCTATAATTGAGATATTCATCGTTATAATTTTTTGCGCTTCTTCATTTGTTCACAGACAGATTAACATAACAAAATAAACATACAATAGTTCCAATAATCAACCGAATAGTGTAAAAAAGTGTTTTATTTAAATGTGTACTCTTCGCGTATACTATAAGGCAGTATTTAACCAAATAGTGTTCAATAAAAAAAGTATCGGAAAAAGGGAAC